GGAGCAGCTCAGGAAGGCGCCTGCCACGTTTGTCGCTAGGTAGGTGCAGAGCAAAAGCCTCCGTGGAGGGAGAGCTCTCTGGAGCGACCTCGGGCAGCCTCAGGAGCAGCCTGCACCTCACTTGCTAGAGGAGCCAACCTGCAGCCATGCCTCTGTCCCTTGCCTGCTGCCAGGATGGGGAAGCCCTGACGGTGGCTCAGGATGGAGGTGCTGCCCAGCTTGCTGTCGGCATCCTGCGAGCCACCAGGATCCCCGGACTGCACTACATGTGCACCCGGCCGCAGTCCCGCCTGCGCCACCTGCTCTGGAGCCTCGCCTTCCTGGCCTCTGCCGGGCTGCTGGCCACCAGCGCCGTTGACTGCCTGCACCACCTCCTCTCGCGTCCCGTGCACACCCGGGCGCACCTCACTCAAGCCTCCCAGCTCCGCTTTCCAGCCGTCACGCTCTGCAACCCCAACCGGGCACGCTTCCTGCACCTCACCAAACCCGACCTCTACTCGGTTGGGCAGTGGCTAGGGCTGGCCTGGGAGAACCACTCGCTGGTGCCCGAGATGCTGGCTGTGCTGGGGGAGGACCGGCGCATGTGGCTGACACGTCTTGCTAACTACTCACGCTTCTTGCCACCCCGCTGCTCTGAGCACACCATGCAGAGCTTCTTCCACCGCCTGGGCCACCAGATCGAGGACATGCTGGTGGACTGCCACTTTCAGGGAGAGCTCTGTGGCCCCCAGCACTTCACCCCTGTGAGTTCCCGCCTGGGGGCAGAGTGACAGCCAGGCTGCCCCATGGATGCTGGGGGCGATGTTTCACATCCCCCAGCAAGGGCAGAGGGGTGACAGCATGGGAGGGGGAGGCTTAGATGAGCCCTTCCAAACTGCTCCCTTTTCTAGCACTGCCAAAGGATTGCAAAGGGGTCCCTGGACCTCATCCTGCTTGCAGAACACCCTGCCAAGCCCCTGCCTGCTCCCTCACCACCCGCCTTTTTCCATCCCCAGGTCTACACACGCTACGGTAAGTGCTACACCTTCAATGGAGACCGGAGGAACCCACGAGTGACACGCCAAGGTGGCATGGGCAACGGGCTGGAGATCATGCTGGACATCCAGCAGGAAGAGTACCTGCCCATCTGGAGAGAGACCAGTGAGTGGGGCAGTGGCATGAGCAGCGCACAGATAAGGGTTGCTGTGAGGGATGGCTGCTGGGCAAGCAGGGCACACGGTGGGGGCTATGGGGCAAGCAGGCACCAGAGGTAGGC